GACCGTGAAGGGAAGAGGGCAGCCCTCAGTTTATATCCCCAGCCCCGGCCGGCCCAGGCTCCCAGTATGGCCAACAGACTGGAGTTCTCCAGGTGGGTCCGGCAGACGGTGCAGGAGCAAATCGAGTGGTGCCGCCGGCTGGTGGACATCAGTGAGTCAGAGGAGGAGGAGCTCACCTATTCCAGCGTGGTCTCCTTGACGGATTTGGATGGGCCGTGCTGGACTCGCCAGGAGGAGTGGAAGCAAGTGAGTAGTCTAAGTGGGGCCCTGAGCAAAGTGGGCTGTGGGTGCCTCCTGCAGGTTTGTTCTCTGTTATGAGGAATCTCAGTACAAAATATGTGGGTCAGTGCACAGATTGTGCACTGTCTCTCTGCAGAGAGATTCTTGCTGCTTTGTGTAGTAGAGTTAAGGAGCAATTCAGTGTTGAAGTGCCAGCGGGCAGGCTCATGGGGTTTCTGCTTTTTTGTACCTAGTGCTCTGTACCCCGAGACAGTCTGGTGTTGATCATTCAGTGGTAAGTGATCAGGAAGGGCTATACTGTGAGCATGTGATCTCTGCTGCTTGGGGATGTTTGGTTAGATACCTGCGCTACATCCAGCCCATCCTGTGGCATGGTTCCCTAGCGATTGACAAGCTGTGCACAAGAGGAGAACAAGTAGGAGAACATAGGTGGTGAGTAAGACTGGCCCCCCCTGCCGTTCTGCTGGTGCCTTTCTCCTACCCTTGCGAGCCAGCCTTTTCACCGGGATTTCACCTTTCTGTGCTCAAGGCTTTGTCCCAGCGTTTGCCCCTAGTACAGCACTCATCCGTTGTTGTATAAAGCTGCTGCTCAGGCATAGAGTGGAGCAACAGGTTTTCTTGATTCACTCCAGGGGACAGAAATAATAGACAAGACCGGCTGTAGAGCCCAGTGGTTACATCGCTCGCTGTGTCCATGGGGTATCTGAAGTCAGCTCTGTAGGTAATGAATGAGCCCATCATTTGCTGACAAGCAACTTGTAATCTTGGGTACTAAGAGCAGACTGAATTTGTGGTTTTAGCTGGGCTGCACTGCGAGTAGATTGTGAGGCAGGTCAGAGCCTGGGAACTTCGTTTCCTGTTTGTGCTAGACCAGCCTGTCTGTAAGCCCCTTCTGTGCGCTCTGAAACCATCGTTACTTACTTCGCATTACATATGACATCCCGGCATTGCACACCTTATCAGCATAAAGCTATATATTGAGGTCAGGGTTAAAGAGATTAAACTTTAATCCAAATAGTGGTTACTGACTCAGCAGTTACTTACATTACTGGAGGCTGTGGAATGTCCTGGCTAGAGAGCAGAGGAGTTTAATACTAAGCCTGTTCACGGCTTCAGGATCTGCTGGATGTTCTTGCCCTGGGACCTGTGTTTTTTGACGGAGGAGGACAGGCAAGGCTCTTTTCGAAATCTTAGAGACAGCAAAGGGAAAGCTTGCATCAGGCCTGATTTATGGACACCCCTCTTCCCCCAGGCACTTTGGGTGTACCTGTAGCTCCCGGCCAACTATATTGTTACCTCTGTCGTGGACCAGGTCTGTGACAGTCCTGTGGAGCAGTATGGTGGTTCAGCGGGGATGCCGGCAACATCTCTGTTTCCCTGCCCTATGGTAATAGCAGCAGTCCAGGGAGGGATTCAGAGATAAAGCTGTACTTGCTTAGTAAACTTTGACTGGCGATATCTGCTGGGTACACTTTATTTAGCAAACTTTTCCAATCCTTTCAGATTTTAGACATTCTCTGGAGTGACCCCATGCCTCAGGAGGGCTGCAGAGTAAATACGGTGCGAGGTGGTGGCTGCTACTTTGGGCCTGACGTGACAGAGAGGATCCTTGAGAAGTACAACTTGCAGTTCCTCATCCGCTCCCACGAGTGCAAGCAAGAGGGCTACGAGTTCTGTCACAACCGGAAGGTCGGTGAGGGGGAGAGCATGAAGGGTACTTCGGTTTCCCTCCTGCCAGGTTGGGCTTTCTGTAGTGGCTTGCCTCAGCTCTGTGTTTCTTCTAATGGGGCGCTTTGTTGAGTACATATAAAACCATTGAACAGCCTTATTGGGAGTTACTGAAGTGTGTTTCCAGCTGAGGTCTTAGGTCAAGACAGTCTGGAGCCACCTACTCTGTTGGGTGCATCTGTTGTGCAGGCAAAGTACATCTTTGTGCGTGGTAGCTGAGAAAAGATCTGAACCCATTTGTGTCCCACTTCATGCAGCTGTTTCTGAAAATGATGTACAAAAGGGTGTTACTAAGGTTGCTGCAGCAAAGTTTTGCCCTCAGAAGATTCAGGGTCACTGCAGTTTTGACTCCGCACTCTGCAGATGAGAGTGGAAGCTTGTCGGGAGAATACAGCAAAATTGCAGAAGCCCAGCATGTAGCCAGATCCACATGAGACCAGTGCCACCCTCAAGGAACTTGCACCCGTAAGGCTACCAGGCCAGCCACCACCTTGCCCTTCCTTTTTCATGTAAAAGATGTTGCTTTCACAGTCTGTTGACTCCAGATGGAATCGGTTGTGTTGGTTTCACCGATACACGTGTATATATGATAGAGGATGTACGTACTGACTGTAAATGCCTCTCTTTTTTGGGGGTTAGGTGCTGACCATATTTTCAGCCTCAAACTACTATGAGATTGGCAGCAACAGAGGAGCCTATGTGAAGCTGGGACCAGACCTCGTTCCCCATTTTGTTCAGTACCAAGCGAACAAGACAGCCCATACCCTCACTATGACCCAAAGGCAAGGCTTTGCGGTTGCTCTGTATTCACCAAGTCAAAATTCTGAAAGGGAAAACTTTGGGAGCTTTGAGAAAGTTTGATTCTATAGAGCTGAACTTACACAGCTTGATTGACTAAATGATAGCGCTAGAGAAGGATTCAAGCTTTGCGCAGAAATTACTGAGGGGGGCTCAAGGCTTGAGGAGGCAGCGTTACAAGATCAGAAGGGTACTCTTTTTTACAAACTGCTGATTTTCCAGCTTCTCTTTTCAGTGTCAAGTTTTAACTTTTGACACTTGCTGAGGTTCCCTTCTGCTTTGTTGCTTCACAAATTGAGGCATGGATTCACTGCATCAGCTGCAGGGAACTGTGCTCCAGGCATGCCGTGCCTTGTCACAAGCATTGAGATGCAGCCGTAGCTATGCAGAGCAGTTGTGCGAGGGTCTGGGTAATCCATGGACAGGTCAGCGGACTGGGAAAGTGCAGCTTCTCTTGTGTTCCATGGCAAGTCCTTAATCTGCTTCTCTCTTTCTGCAACCTCCAGAATCAGCAGAGTAGAGGAGTCAGCCTTTCGAGCCTTGCGGGAAAAGCTCTTTGCTCACACCTCAGCCCTCATCAGTGCATTCAAGGCCTACAATAAGGACAATACAGGTAAATCTGAGCCGAGGGACACTCAGGTTAATTCCCTGGTAGGACAGGATTTCAGCAGCTGAGTGTGTGGCTGGTTGGGAGACTCCTCACGGATAGTTGTCAGCCACTGTCACAGGGGGAGGCTGTGTCAGACCTTGCCAGCGCAGTGGTCCCACTTGCTGTTATTCAGTGTCTCTGCTGGGAACCTGTTAATGCCTCAGAGTGGCATTGCAATAAGGGGGTGTCGGAGAAGCAAGAGGTGATTAGGCTGATGTGTAGCAATTTAGGCTTGATACTAGGAAAACCCTTTGGAACAAGAGTATTGATGACGCATTGCGAAAGACGACCTGGAACATGTTTGTCATGTGACACTTGGGAAGGGCTGGGTGGTCTCTAGAGCCCCTTCATCCCTGGAGTCTAAAATCACCGGGAAGAGGAAAGCGAGGGATGTTCTCCGCAGCAGCTGTCTCTGTCAGAACCCTAGGGAAGGAGCCGAGTGTTCATAATTCCTTGGCTGCCAGGAGCACTCTGCTGGTGCAGTGACCGAGACTTGTTGCTGAGATCTGTCCATTTGTGGACCGGGTGAGAAGAGGGACACAGCAGCTGGCAGAACTGCTTTCTTGATGGTAGAAGTGCTTTCTTGCTTTCTTCCCTGGCAGCCAAATTGTTCACAGAAGTCCAGTTTAGTTGTTAGAGCATCTGCTAAACTAGGGGCTTTTCCATGTTCCTGGGGGACTGAGGAAGTACTAGTGCAGTTGTGCAGACCATCTGCAGGGTGATCCTGGCTGCAGGCCCAAGTTTATAATGAAATATCCAAAGCTAGTGTCTTCCCGTTGGTCAGATGTTTGCAGCCCCATAGCCCTGAGTTGTTGCAATGATCAAAAGCTTGGTGAGGCTGGAGGGAGCTGCAAGTGCACTTGTGCCTGCAGTGGCTGATGTCTGTACAGCCATGTAAGGCTTTTTCCTGTACCGAAGTGCTCAAGCGTGCCATGGAGAAATGATGCTGTCGCTGTCAGCGGCACGGTAGACTGGGTATGCGCACTGCTCTAGGCTTTTTACTTTGCCTTCATGTGCTTTCAGCTGCCCGTCTCTCAAAGATCTCCATGGCTCTCCCTTTTCCTTCCAGGAAAGATCACGCTGAGCAACTGGGCAATGGCAGTGGAGTCAGTTGTGCACCTGGGATTGCCCTGGCGAATGTTGAGACCACAGCTGGTGCGCAGCACGGCCGACGGCATGCTGGAGTACAAGTCCTGGCTTGACGACTTGGCCATGGAGCAGAGGAGCCAAGAGGTAAGGACTTGCCCCCTTCCATCAAAGCAGGGTGCAAAGCAGCTCACCAGATCCCCAGCACATGGAACCAAGTATGGTATGAAAGTAGAGTAGGTGGCTCCTGTACAATCCAAAATCATACTGAAGTCGATGGAAAAGCTTGCATGAATTCAGATAGTCCGTAGGCATTTAGTCCATTGTAGAAAGAGATGTTGCATGTGAAATCAAAACCTAAGAGGTAGTTTTGGATGCAGACTTTTGAGTAGGAAAACTATATTCCATTCTCCAAGTCGCAGTTTCTTAACTACACCCAGCAAAACCAACTGTGCAATGTTTAAAAAAAATGTAGCCCAAGTCAGTGTCTCCTCTGTTAGCCCGCAGAAGCTCTGCTTGGAAGCGATAGGTTGCTGATGTGCTATAACGCAGAGTTGCACAGAGAGTCCAGTCACCGCAAACCTGCTTCATAAAGCACACACGATGCAAAGTGCATTGCTGGCAAACTCTTGAGAGCAGTAAACATTTTTATTTATGGGAAGGTCTGCAGTAACTGCTCAGAGAAAGCAGAGAGCTGTCAGAAAGGTAGAAGATGTGTGACCATGTTGTCTTTCAGCACATCCAGTCGAGCTTGCTGGAAGTCATTTATCGAAACAGATCCAACTTGGAGACCATATTCAGGATTATAGACAGAGATCATTCAGGTAAGCAGGTGTGCAGGGGCTGTTGGTCACTGCATTGTATTCCATTCTACTTTCAGGCTCCCTTTAGTATGTACGAAGGCCTTTTTATTTAATGGTTTAAGGCCTTGGGTCTTTTTCCTCCCTCAAGAGCTTCTGAAATGCCTTTGCATGTTTCCACAAACATGACGCATTTTGAAGGACTGTGTGCGGTCCAGGGAGAGAAGTAATAATTATTTGTTTGTGAGGAGTTCAGCAGAACAAAAATTGTGATGAGAGCAATGACAGTAATGCAGCGTACTTGGGATCTTGAGTGTTACCTGCTTTCAAGCAGTCATCTTCACCAAATTACTTTGCAAAAGAGAAAATACAACAGTCTTCGTCTTCTTTTGTTCTCCCAAATCATATTATGTCTCTTTATTGCTTTAAGTTGTATTTTAGCCAGTGTTTTCCACACTAGGAAATTTCATTGCAGTGTGTGAAATGTAGATTATGAGTGATTTCTTTCCTTCCTTTAGGGTATGCAGGCAGTAGGGGTGGGATGAAAGATCAAACCTGAGCAAGGGTCCTTCCCTGCAGGCTGAGCAGGGACTGACTGGCAGCAGTGCCCATGGTGACCTTGTGCTGAGGTGGCTGTGCCTTCCTTCTCCACAGGGCTCATCTCATTCGAGGAATTCCACCAAACCTGGAAGCTGTTCAGCTCCCACATGAACATTGAACTCACAGATGATGGCATCAACGACTTAGTTCGCAGCATTGATTTCAATAAGGATGGAAACATCGACTTCAACGAGTTCCTAGAAGCCTTCCGCCTTGTCAAACAGTCACAGTAGAGAAAACCTGGTGAGGGTTGCCACATCCAATGCCTTGACTGTCTGCAAGACCAGGGGGACCCAGCTACCCACAGAGCATGCCTGCAGATGCAAAGCAGGGAAAGGGAAGGCAGATACCTATAGCGCTTACTGGCTGAAAACAGTGACTGCCATAGCCAACAGCTGCGGTCCACTGGGGGAAGGTAACAGGCAAAATAAATAAGCTGCACTTCAGTTCTGACCATTTCTAAAAAGCAGCTGTGTTTTAAGTAGAAATTCCTCCTCAAAGGGAAGATGCAACTGCTTCTCTAGTCAGTGCATGTGATGACAAGTTACAGGTCTATTCAAGTGTAGTAAAATGGAAGGAAAGATATTTCTTGTAGGCAATGTTTTAGCCAGGTAGCAACTGCTAGAGCACAGCTTTTCTTTTAATAAACATTTTTTTCAAGATTGCTGGTTCTGGGCTGTTCATGCCTTCTCTAGTTTGCCAACCTATTAGCAGCAGTGCTGTTTCACTGATGACACCTGCTTCCCCTCTGTTGTTATTTTTTGCCATTACATGTTTGTTCTGTAAGCCTGAAGCTACTAAATATGTGCGGTGGAGCAACACTTTGAAAAAAAACATGCAAAACTAGATGTAGCAGAGTGGCTTTTTTAAGAAGTCTGTTGAGATGAGTTCTTTTTCAAAGGCTGGTGTAGTAGATCAAGTAACCCCTTGCTAGAGTGCCTATGGTGCATGGTCAAGATTTTTCAAAGCGTAGCACAATTGCAGCTTAAAAAGAGGGGGCAGGGTTAAAGTGTTTGGAAAGAAAAAAACCACCTATCTATCTTGAGCTTAGTCACTCTAGCAAGGGCACTATGGTAAAAAGACTTCACTTAAACTGCTACCCTGGCCCTTAGAGAACTCCAGCTTCACTGAATTTCTTGGAAGAGCCCCTGCTAGAGCCTGTATTACACATTTGAGATATTTTATGAATTGGAACTATGATTCCAAAAGTAAACTCTCTCAAATGCACAATGCAGAAATACAGCCTCAGCATGTTAGAGCCTATTTTTCTACCTTCCAAATTTTATGAATGGATTATTTTTTTGTGGCTAATGAACAAAATTATTCTGCCTTTACTTCTGCTGTACAAACTCCTACTGCAGAGAATAACGTATTTTTGTTTCAGTTATTTTCAGGGACTTTTGTAATGAAGAAAAAAGGCAGCTTGGGGGGGGCAGGGGGAAAAGCTGTCTCCCCAGAGCATGTAGTAGCCACTTGTTCCGCAGTACTTGGCACCCCATAAGATCCAAGGGACCTGACCTTGTATTTTAGCTGGGAGACTGGGGCTGCCAAGCAGCAACGTGGCATCAGGTTTGATAGCCTGTTACCTGCAGGGCCTGGAAGAGAGTGCATTAACCTGGAATTGTTAGCAGTTTCACTGCTTTTCTGATGTAGCTGAGAAAGAGCCAGCACCATGCACAAGTTATTACAAAGTCAGAATGAATTTATTACTCTTCAGCAATTAAAAAAAGGCAGAAGACAACATCTAGACATTCTGTTGTTATTTAAGGGACAGCAAAGCTTTGTATAATCACATCTGTAAAGTGACAAAAAACATAACCTTCAGATCCTTGCAATCCAAAGGAAAGACAGAAACTGGAAACATCAATTTTTTGCAGCTTGCCCCAGTAAACTACTGGTACTGCAGAGACTGACATAGTTACAGCAACATACATATCTCTAATGATTTCAATTAGGCTGCTTATACAATGATACTGCTTGATTGTTTTGACAAAAACATGGAAGCAGGCTAAGCTTTCCACAGGCTAAGCTTTCCACAAACCAAGTCACAAGCGGAACAATTTCCTTGGCACTGCATTTCTAGGACAATGCTGTTGTAAAAAAAAGGGGGGGAAAAAAAGAAAAAATGTACAATAGTACATATAGTTTTATAGTAAACCAGTATCTGAACAGATTAAGTTTTCCTTCTTTTATTAAAGCATATACAGCTTTATAAAATATAAACCTTCCAAAGGTCAAGTTCAAAAGCTTAGAAGAGGCTTTGCTAACTCTAAAGATAACAGCCAGAATACCATTGCTCCTAGAAGACACGTTTTATTTTACCTCAACAGTTTTAGCCTTGGAAGGTGAACCATGAACTGAAGTAACATGTTCTGTGTAAGCCCAGCAGCATCCACCAGGTCAACTGAAGACTCCTCCTCTGATGGGAATGCTCTCGTTCAGCCCATGTTCTATAAGTTTGATGTCCTCCAAGTCATCCTTTATAATGCTAATTAGGTGACTCAGGCCTTCTTGCTGCTGCTTCAGATGCTGCAGATAGTTTAAAAAACCAGCATGAGCATAGTTCAACTTCATAAATTTTAAGAAATATTTCTCAAAAGGTGCCATATCTGGTGGCCTCAGCACACTGAAAAGCCAGGCATGATTTCTTTGGAAGAAACAAAACCAGCAATTTAACCTGTGTAATAGCCTAACTGCCTAGAGTGGCTTTGTACAACACCTTGATGCACTGTCACTGAGAACAATAAAAAGGACTTCATCATCAAACAATTATAAAAACATGACATTCTAGATACATCTCCCAAGTTGGTGCACAGCTGTCTTAAATTATGAAGTTCAAAGAGTATCCCAGGATTCTACCCAGTAATACTTACTTGCTTGATTTCCCTTAAGAGGTCTGCATCTATGTAATACCGTTCTTCAGCCCGCACTGCTCCAAAGTGGTTTTGCATCCTGATTTGGGACATGAGCTCATTCAGTCTGCCCTGGGAAGAGAAACAGGCTTAAAGCAAATGCAACTCACATCTGTCAGAGCTCCAGCGTCTACCACTCCTCGAGACACCATGGCAGGAAGCATTGCTGCTCATCCAATTTTGGTTTTGGTTGTTTTTTTTTGTTTGGTTTTTTATTTTTTTGGAAGACAGGCAAAGGGCAAGCAACTCCAATGCTTCTAGGAACTCAAAATTACTTAAATACCTATCAGTCACGCAGCAAAGAGCTTGAAGCTAAAACCTAGTAACACTGCTGGACTTCTCTTCTGAAAGCTTTCCACAACAAATATATATGCATGGTTTGGAAAACTTACATTCTTTGGTGAGGAAAAACCAGAGTTGTTGGCAAAGTTCTATTAATTACTCACCTTGAACTGTGTGGGTGCGTTGAGTTCACACTGAATTGTATCTAACTGCACACGAAGCTGCTCTTCGTCTGCTTGAATAGCATAACCACTTTTCCTTTGGATCTCCTGCTTTATTAATACCTACAAAAGAAGCCTTTGAGGTTCATTAGAGAAGACTTTGCTCACCTCTTTCCCCTCTAGCCCACCCACATGTCTTTTTGCCCTTCCTCCAGCATCTCTCTCATCAGATTTGTTCTGTCATTTAGTCTGCTGCTCAGAGACCTCAGGGCAGTCCCATGGCTTCCGAGTGAGAGAGAACATTCCCAAAGTAGTACAACACACTGTGCACCTGAAGCTTTCCCTGTCAACTCTGACTGTTACTTAAATCAATACCATTTAGATGAAGTCAGAATTTCATTTCCAACATCGGCCATGCACAAGAACACACAGGTCACCCTGCCCCCTCTCAGTTTGTGTCCTAGAACTAGACTGTGTGTCAGAATGAGCTACTTAAGACTATCCATGTTACCTGTAACGTTCTGTGAGAAAGTGCCATCAGTTTCCTTTTGTACTGTGCAATTTTTGCCATAGTTGTTGTTTGGTTTTTCTGCAGCTCACTGATATCTTCTGATATTATCTACAGGGGAGATGCAGTCAGTTGAAAGTCATAAGAGGTTCTGATTAACAGAACACATTAGTCCTGATCTGAAATAGGGAGTTTCAAAACAGTACTCAGGCCAACAACTTAGCATCCTTGCCAAAGATGATTTCAGAAAGCTTTTTGCGAGACCTCTACTGTTCTGGTTTCTATTTATTTTCATACGCAAATAAAATTTTCAGAAGGCATCACTAAACTGGGTGCCCAAATTAAGAGTCTGTACCAGGGCAACTTAATTCAGCTGGTTTGAATTAGCCTATAACAACACAGCAAGCATGAAAAAAACCAAAAGCCAGAAATGTTCAGTTTTTGGCCAAAAGACATAATTAAGGAATGTATTAAAAAATAGTGATAAAGAGTCACAGCCCCATGCACATAGTTCATAGTTTCAGTCTTTGAGACACAGGAGGCACAGGGGGAGGCTCATTTAATAGCACATCCTTTGTCAACAGCAAGCAGTCATGATAGAGATGAGAAACCTTACGTCTAATCGAGTTTGATGCTGTTTGGTCATCTGATCTTGGACCTTCAATCTTCTCAACAGTTCCTTGAAACCCACCATTGGCACAGGAATAAGCCTACAAGAATACAAATATTTCTTACGACACATTTTTATATTAGACAAATGGTACGGATTAATAATTGTGAATATAATCTGGTTACAGATGATCTTCGCCTAATATAAGTTAAGATAATACATAAGCATACATTGCTTTGCCAAGTTCTACAGTCATCACTATTCCTAACAACCTGTTCCTTTTTCATCAAGAAATCAGTCTAAGTTGTCTGTAACCACTAGATGGGTACAAGGATACACCACTTTCAGCAGCAGGAA